GTGTGGTACTCGACAGATTAGCATGGAGCACATAAGTGGGAGAGATCGAGTGTGGGAGAGTGTAGGAGATGGAGCGCTCCAGTGTGAACACGAGTTGAGATTGAGAGTGAGAGAGTGAGATAGTGCGAGAAATCTAGCATGATTGAGAGATCGGGAAGGAAAGATGCCACCAAGGGTGAGTCCAAGGGTGATTGCTTCCACTTCTATTTTTTTTTCTTGCTTCTTTCTTGATTGCTTTTTCAAGGCTGGCCACCTTAGGCACTTTGGCTGCCCGAGGGGCCAAGGTTATTCAAATCTTGAGCTTGGGGTGGGTTGCCCAAGCTTGACATTGGGCAGCTTGAGGTGGCCTGCCTTGACATCGGCCTTCCTCGATGCAGCTTGAGGTGGCCTGCCCAAGCTCAATATTGGGCAGCCTCGAGCTTGGGCAGGCCACCTCAAGCTCAACATTGGGCAAGCCAATGCTTGGGCAGGCCACCTCAAGCTTGCATTGAGGTAGGCCTGCCCAAGCTCAACATTGGGCAGCCTCGAGCTTGGGCAGGCCACCCCAAGCTCGACATTGGGCAGCCTCAAGTTTGGGCAAGCCACCTCAAACATTTTAGCCGCCCAAGGGGTTGAGGTTATTTGACTAACCTTGGCCCCTTGGGCAGCCAAAGTGCTCGAGGTTGACTTGGGCTGGCCACCTCAAGCACTTTGGCTGCTCGAATAACATTGGCCCCTCGGGCAACCAAAGTGCCCAAGCTCGAATTCGAGCTTGAGCGGGCCACCTCGGGCACTTTGGCCGCCCGAGGGGCTGAGATTATTTGAATAACCTCAACCCCTCGGGCAACCAAAGTGCCTGAGGTTGAGCTTGGGCCAGCCACCTCGTGCACTTTGGCTACCCGAGGGGCCGAGGTTATTCAAATAACCTCAGCCCCTTGAGCAGCCAAAGTGCTCGAGGTCGAGCTCAAGAAGGCCACCTCAGGCACTTTGGCCACCTGAGGGGCCCAGGTTATTTGAATAACCTTGGCCCCCTGGGTAGCCAAAGTGCCTGAGGTGGAGTTTGGGCCCACTTGATTTTTTTTTTCTCTTTGACTATTTGAATTTCTTATTATCTTTATTTAGTTTGACTAAAAAAAAAATTCTCTTGCAGAAAAGGAAAATTGTACCACATAAAAAGGTTGTTAGAGCTAAGAAGACATAAGAAGTTCATTTTGGCACTGATGACGATATCACAATCAACATATCTATTAGCACATCAACAAAGACGCATTTACTTAAAGATCCATTGCCTCTACCACCATCACCTCCACCACTGCCACCATCACCTCCACCACTGCCATCACACCTCCACCACCCTCATCACCACCTCCACTACCCCCATCACCACCTCCACCACCACCACCACCGCCATCGCCACCACTGCCATTACCACCGCCACCACCATTGCCACTATTGCCTCTGCCCCAGCTGCCACCACCACCACCCCCACCATTACCATTGCCACCTCTACCTTTACTCCTCACTGGCCCACCACTAATATAAATCCCTGAAGTTGGGCAATCTAGTGGTGTTCACGATAGGGAATTTAAGGAATAGCTTGGAGTTGAAAGAATTGCAGACTTTTTCCACAATGTGGTGGACAAGCACTTCCAAGAGACTATTATGTGGACAAGGGAAAAAGTAGTTCACCAAACACTTGAGGTGCTCAAGTGGCTAGGCTCTTATGACTTGATCAAAGAAATTTCCCTTTGCTGTTTGCAGCAGACAAACCTTGTTCGCACAGCATCCAAATATATCAACCCAAACATATATAGCTTGTTCAAACAAAATGGCCTTGCAATGAATATCGGTATGTTTCTAGTCTCTTTTTGCAAGCCAGAAAGAATGGAGATCATTACCGTCACACTCGAGATTGTGAATAGCTAGGATCTTATTTGGAGGAAGTCCAATTAAAGATCATGTTCAACATCAGTCACAAAAGGAGATTAAAATTTTATGCACAAATATCAATGAGATGTTAGAGAAAGGTGTTATTTGCAAGTCTTAAAATCTTTGGGTATGTGAACTATCTTGTGATAATCTTCATAGGAATATTCAATATTGTATTGACTATTATCTATTAAATGATGTGACTATCCTATATATGTACCTATTCCACACACTATCAATCTTTTAGATCATGTAAGGAGAAGTCATTTATTCATCAAGTTAGATCTTTCTTTTAGATACTAGCAAATGCTAATAGCAAAGGAGGATATTCTTAAAATTGTTTTTTATACACAATTTAGTATTTGTACGAGTTTTAGTGATGCCATTTAATTTGAAAATGCTTTAATGACTTTCTAGCATATGATGAATGAGGTTCTTTTTGATATGCTGAAAGTGACTGCTAACTTTATTAATGATGACATGATCCACTCAAAAGGGACATTTATGAAAAGTTGGTTTTAAGCTAAAGTGGTCAAAGTGTGATAAAGAGTGAAGATTGTTGAAGTAAGAGTGAAATATATTCTAGATGAATTGATGTTAAATGAACCCTCTGATAGTACTCTGAAAGAAGGATAAAAGGGTCACTAGTTTATTCACATAAAGACTCTTCATTATTTATACAACTTCTTATTTCTTGAAAGAACTATCTATCAAGACCTTCCATTGTAATAGCACTAACAGAATATTATTAATGCTAAGGCCTTCACATAGAAAATAGAGCATACAAATTTAGAAGATGTCAACAACATTAATATATATGGCAAATCTCATCACATACCCAACAATAAATATTATGGCTATAACCATGTCTTTGCCTTTATTTTTGGGCAACACCAGTGTCTATCTCTATCAAAACAAGAGCATGTGGAGTTGAAACACATATAATTATAAATGGGAAAAGTGGTATTTTATAATATTGTGCTAATCAAAGAGTATTGTCAAGAGTGGTAAGGGCAACTGCATTCATAAGTGCTAATCACAATATGCTCAACTTAATGATATATTTAGCTTTGCATAAAGTAAAAGGTTTCAAAAGCAAATATCAAATTGCATACTTGACATAGACAGCCCCTAATAAAAATGATGCAATTGCTAAAATGCATCATTAGAGTTGTTAGCATGCCTAAATACATACTTGAAGACTTCTAAAAGAAAACTTCAATTCACATAAATGGCTATATTTAAACTATTCTACCACTCTAGTGTTGTCCTTTAAGACATGTGGGAAATTCATGCAAATACTGGGCATCATCCCAAGAATAATAAATGGCAATTATTATAAAGTGATAGAATTAATAATATACATTCCTAAGGAAGAAATTTGGCCAAACATGAGGATTAATAATAGAAGCTAAACCATGTGTCATGAATACCACTATCAATTAAGCTTAAGTATTCAATTGCAACTATATAACATCAAATAACTACACCTATTGTTACTCCAGAGTCAAAGGAAGAGAAGAGATTGCAAATGAGTATATTACTTTGCTACTAGATTTAAATTGAAAACACAAATCCAAACACTCCTTAAGGATAATCAAAGTTGCCCCCTCACTTCTATCAATGTCAATATATGAAATATAAAAATGTGTATATTTAATTAGCCCAAAAACCTTAACTTATATATAGGAGTGAGTGTTCTAAATTGAAATCAATCTAATAGCTATCAAAATTCTATTACACTAATAAATACACATAATTTACCTTATTATTAGTTCTCTCAATAAAATAAAATAAAGAAAAAATACTATTGTGAGTATAATCTACATATTCCAATTTAGCTATAATACTAAAGAGAATGAATAAAACAAGAAAGAAAATATAAGAAGGAACATAAAGATAAAAAATACAATGAGGAAAAACTTAAACCAATCCTAGGTTATATACTTATAAATTATAGCCATTGCTAATTATAAAATTATAGACAACATCTACTATGGGGTAGCCACGTAAGTGCTGGTTCTCCTAGTCTTTTCGAATTCCATGCTTGCCTATTACAACAAGAATAATGAATTTGGACAAGCTATATAACTGTTTAATTTGGTGCCCAGCAGAGATCTGCAACCTGGAACTCTGTGCTTATGTAAGTGGAGATCACCACTAAAAGTGGCATCGGCCCAAGAAGCTCGACCTGGTGAAGAAGTAGAAAGCTTTCCTTCCTGGAGTCCACCGGCAATTCCTTCTTCGAGACCATGGCGTTGTTGATCAAAACAAGCTTGACGTCGGCCATAAGACTAAGATGGTTGAGGAGATTTTACCTTTGAGCACTCAACGGCCTCAAGCGCAAGCTTCCACTGCTTGTCCACAAGCTTCCACCGCGCCACGTCCTTGATGTCACAGCGTCCCACAACTTGCTCAAAGAACAGACCCTTAGGAAGCTCGTAAGGTAGCTTTTCCATTAGACTGCGGATGGTTGCATCCCTGTTCTGCATCTCTTCTTGCAACCTGGTTACCTTTGCCTCAAAGGCACCTCGTGCGGCGTTGTTGTTGTTTACCGCCATCTTCTCTGCAAGAGCTTCCACTTTCCTGTCAAAAACACAGTGTCATAATCAAGTTGTGGAGTTCACGCGAGTGTATCACCTGCGATCGTCTTCCTGTTGCGTGACGAGCTTGTCCAGCTCACGACGGACAATTGATAAGCCTTCAAACACGAGGCAGACAGACAGTTTCCCATCGATAACACTTATGCCACAGGCGGGAGGAACTTCAAAGATTCTTTTCACAACCTGCAAATCACAGTGAGAACACCGACCAGAAAACAGGAGCTTACTTGCCTTCACAGAAGAAAGCTTCGCCAGCGTTAAAACTTCCAAAACTTTGGAGTTGAAGAGCCCCGCCCGGTCCTCGTCTTCAGTAACAAGGTAACACTCTGGCCTGGCATCCGCATAGCGCGTCAAGAATACAATGGGCTACAAAGGACGACGAATGCAAACCTTTGCCTTGGCTTCAGCTCTGCAGCTGCATGAAGACTCCGTGCTGTCTTTACGACGGAGCTTATAAGCTCCATCTCCTTCTCAACTTCGTGATTGCTCCACCCCTGAAGACAAAGGAAAAGAACAACGTTAGGTAGTGTCAAAAGAATCATGGTTTTTACCGGCTTCTCTGTGGGATAGCTTGCGGTCATAATCGAAGACCGCTCTTCACTCTTTTTCTTGTGAGGTAGCCTCTGCCACAGCTCTTCGGTAATGAACGGCATAAACGGGTGCAGCATGCGTAATCCCGAATCCAGACAAATATATAGAGTGGACCTCGTAGCAGCTTTACCATCCTCCCCCAGCTCCTCGGAAGATAGAAGCGGCTTCACTAGCTCGATAAAGACGTCGCACAGAGAGTATTGCCACCACGAATAAACTGCGCTTGAGGCTCCAGATAAATCATATCTAGCAAAACTCTTGTTGATCTTGCAGACTATGTCGTTCAAGGAGGACAAAATCCATTTGCAGGACCAGGGAAGCGAGGATATGTCGAGATCTTCCTCTGGCTCAAAGCCGTCATGAAAGTTGAGTCTCACAAAACGGACAGCATTCCACAACTTGTTGCACCACTGGCGGTAGCCAAGAAACCGCTGGATGTTCAAGTTCATGTTCTCGGCCTGCAAAACAGGATGGCGTCAAACAACAAGATGCAAGAAAACCATACCTGTGCTGTATAGGCGATAAGTCCAAACCGCAGAGCGTCGACTCCACACTCGGGGATCCCTCGAGGAAAATCTTTGTGGAGCCCCTCAGTGGCTTGTTTGAGCTCTGACGGTTGCAGGTTGAGCAGAGCTAACTTGGCCACTAAATCATCCAAAGATATCCCGGATATCACGTCAAGAGGATCAATCACGTTTCCCAGGGACTTGGACATCTTGCGCTTGTGAGCATCCCTCACCATCCCGTGCAGCAAAACCTGCATACCAACGTTTCCCATTTGTCCAACGAAAACTGCTAAAACATACCGTTTTGAAAGGAAGCTGGCCGGTCAGCTGTGTCCCCAGCATCACCATCCGCGCCACCCAGAAAAACAATATATCATGTCCCGTCTCCAAAACTGTTGTGGGATAAAAGGCAGCGTAGTCGGCTGTAGAATCAGGCCATCCAAGCGAGGAGAATGGGAAAAGTCCCGATGAAAACCACGTATCAAGAACATCGGGGTCATGCTGCAACTTGAACGTAGCACCCGGAAATCTTTGCTTGATCTCTGCATCTGCAGCCTGTTCGGAGTCTGCAACCGCCCAGTGATCATCGTAGATTCCAAACGTCTGATCTTCGTTCGCGTCCAATACGGCATACCAGGCGGGTATCCTGTGTCCCCACCAAAGCTGGCGAGATACACACCAGTCTTCAATATTTTCCAGCCACCTTCACAACAAAACATGACAAATAAGAACGCGCAAAAAGAGAAGGAACTTGCCTGAACCAGATGTCTGCAAAAGACGACGGAACAATCTGAAGCTCGTTGTTTCTCAAGGCCTCACAGGCTCGCGCAGCCATTTCCTTGCAATCCACGTACCACTGAGGCTTCATCATCGGCTCCAGCACATCGCTTGACCTTGAACAAATGGCAAGAGGCTTCTTGTGAGGAAACTTCCCTCGGAAAAGTTTCTGGAGTTACCAATCCTTAGAGTTCATTAAAGTTACCAAAACCAAGCTTTCTTTTACCTTGCGTTCTAAAGCTTCCAAAACTCGTTCCCGAGCAATGTAGCGCTTGAGGCCCTCAAATTCATGGCCGCCATTCTCGTTGATCCTTCCATCGTCCGTGAGGATGTTGATAAACTCAAGACCGTGCCTCTTTCCTCTTTCGAAATCCTTTTCATCGTGTGCCGGAGTAATCTGCAAAAAGAGAATGGCATCACGTAGTATAAGAAAGAAAAAACCACATACCTTTACAGCTCCAGTACCTTCATTTATCTTCACTGTCGAGTCCTTTATGACGGGAATCCTTCTCCCGTTGAACGGATGAACGAGGAACTTCCCGTGAAGATGTGCAAATCTCGGATCGTCTGGGTGAACAGCAACAGCGGTGTCTCCAAACATGGTTTCCGGTCGCGTGGTGGCAACCACAATCTCTTCAGAGCTGCCCTCCACCGGATACGCAAAATGAAACATCCAACCAAATGGGACTTTCTTGTCATAGCCGGGTACCGACAGCGATGTAGCCTCAACGTCTCCTGTGTGCTCAACTTCAATGTCCGAGATGGCAGTCTTGAGAGAGCAGTCCCACTTGACCATGCGGTTGGCCCTAAGACAAGAAAAACGTAGTCAATCACTCACGTTGATGTACACATACCTGTAAATCAGTCCCGCTTTATATAACCGCACAAAAGCTTCAGTTACAGCGCGTGACCTCTGCAGATCCATTGTGAAGCACTGTCCGGAAGAACAATTAATTGCGAGATGGTAAAAAAGGGAGGGGAAAAAAAGCTTGTAAACCTCTCGAGACCAATCTAGCGATGCTCCCATTGTCCGGAGTTGAGAACAAATGGCTCCTCCATACTCTGTCTTCCACTCCCAAACTTTCTCGACAAACGCATCTCTCCCGAGATCATGCCGGGTAAGATTCTGCGTGGATGCGAGCTTCTTCTCGACCACCACCTGCGTAGCAATCCCTGCATGATCGACTCCAGGCAACCACAAAGTCACGCGGCCGCTCATTCGGGAATGCCGGACAAGAGCATCCTAAATCACACACCAACACAAGAGTTACAAAAAATCGATGTTACACCAAAACCGGCTATACCTGCACAGACACGGTAAGAGCATGGCCGAGGTGCAAATGCCCCGTCACGTTTGGTGGTGGCAACACCTTCGCCACGAAGAAGGATGAGAGTTCACTACGAAGTAAAAACGTTTACATTTCTTCTACCATAACGAATTTTGGTTCAGTACTGGCCGCATCCGCTCCAAAGAATCCACACGCCTCCCACCAAGAATACCAGCTAAAGAAGAAGCGGATGAGATTGCTAAATGACCGAGACACTTACCCAGCCTGAACGTCCGCAGGATTGTAGCCCGGCTCCATTGTTGGATCCAGGCGCTTTTTTTCCGCCGCCATTACCCAAAAGGGTATCGATTGATTCCAATGCGGCTGCTGCTGGTGGACGCGAAAGTCGCACGGCGCCACCCCACACAAAGAACCCTAATTTCAGGGTTTTAGGGTTTGTTGGAGTGTAATTTTATTTTTCCTTTATTTTTTTAAAAACAACCTACACTAAAGCCATGGCATTGGAAGCCTCGTGGAACTCCCAGGATTTCTCTAGTATCTTGGCAATAAATAAGCTGTAATGATCAATTAAATCAATGGAGTTATGTGATTTTCTATTACCTTGGCTCCTTTGTTTTCAGCAAATGCCCTTTGAAACTTGTCATTTTTCTAATAGTATTTCTCAATTAAAATATCACTAATATTTTCATACATTATTGTCTTTTACAAGTGACTAGCATTGATATATTAAATTTTTAAATTCTGAATTAAGAAATATATCAAGATAAATATATACTTTAACATTTTTTGGTTGAGAAATAAATCACTATCATAAACTGAATCAAGGTGAAAAAAAATTACTTTGATATATTGGTTCGTGAGGGCCAAGTGTACAGCTACAATGCCCTATACTAATATTAGCATAGTGGGATTTTGGTAGCCGTCGGATTGGTTTTAATCCGGACCACTCGCTTCTATATATAAACTAAAGTTTTTGGGTTAATTGATATGCACATTTTTTGTATTCCCTTTTCATATTCCAAACACTCACATTGGTGGAGGTGAAGGGCACCTTTGATTGTCCCTGAGGAGTGCTTAGATTTGGGAATTTGGTTTAAATGTAGCTTTTGCATCGTTTAAATCTAGCTTTTTCCATTTCCTTTCTTTTGTTATTTCTTTTTAGGATTTTGGTTTAAATCTAGCTTTTTGCATTGTCTAAATTTACCATTTCTTTCTAGCTTTTTGTCATTTCTCTTTTTTTGCTCTTTCTTTATTCGTCTTCATGGTAGATCAGCAATCTCCTCCTTTGACTTAGGAGTAGCAGTTGGTACAATTGCTTGATGCTATGTGCTTGCAATTGAACAATCAAACTTAGTTGATGGCGGTGTTCATGGCATGTGGTATAACTCTTCATACTCTTGGTGCGAATCTTCACATTCGGCTGGAGTTCTTTTGCATGAATCCTGGGGATGATGTGTACCATTGGTTCAATCACTTCATAGTGATTGCCATATATCATTTTTGGGATGATGCTCGACGTTTGTATGAGTTTCCCACGTGTCTCCAAGGGATGGTGTTGTAGTGGTACAATAGTTTGTGCGTAGCCACTCGTGGGGATTGGAGTGTTCTCCTGGACGTTTTTAAACGTGTCTTCGGACATGCCGACAACTGTGATGATGCCTTCCAACAATTGCATCATCTTCGCTAAGGGCCATCTGAGTCAATGATACAATTTGGCGTTCGTTTCCAAAATCTTTTGCTTCGTGCAGAGCCAAATATGTTGGAGCGGATCAAGTTAGGAATGTTGTGGCCAATACTTCATCACGATCTTGTCAGACTTGTGCATGCACTTACTCCCGCCACCCTTGACGATGCTCTTCGCTTGGCACAACATTATGAGATATCGCCTCTTCCACTTCTTACTGCACGTCCTTCAGCTTTCACTTCTTATGGGTGATGGTCTTGTTCCAATAGAGGTTGATGCTATTGCTGCTTAAGTCCAAGAACAAGGGCGAGGACGTGGTCGTGGCTGTGATGTTCGATATTAGGCGTGTGATGAAGTTGGTCATATTTATAGGTATTGTCGGCGTTTTCCGGATTGGTGACTTCCATTTCCTAGGTGGAGACCTTAGTGTTAGCAATGTCCTGTTAGTGCTGCTGCAGTGGAAGGTTTGGACACTGAGATGCATCCGGGAAATGAGGAGTTGCGCAAGTAATGGAGGGACCTTGCGCGAATAAGCCAATGACCCCTCCATCTTTCTTTCGGGAGTATCATCAAGGGGTTCACTCGGCATCGGTTCATCCAGTGTTTACTTTCCAAGTTCGTTTACATAACAAGAGGTCTTCTATTCTCTCCGTGTTGGTTGATATAGGTTCAAGTTTATCTTCTATTGCTCAACTTATTGCCACTTGTGTCGTGTGACGGAACCAATTTTCATTCTTTATGGCAATAGCAATACACATGCATGTGCACAGGATGAGGTAGACCTAGTTGTGCATATGGGTGATCTCGAGCTTGAGTTGCAGTTATTGCGAGTGGTGCCTAATTAAGCTTTTGACCTCATTCTTGGTATAGATTAGTTGCAGCACAATCATGCCAAATGTGATTTTGAGGCTTCTCCCCCTTGTCTCATACTTCCTTATGTTTCATCCATTTCTTTCACTTCCGTACTTTTTTGTCCCTTTACTTTTACCTCTGCTTCCATTACTTTTGTTCCCCCACTATTTCCTCCTATATTTCTGTCTTGTTCTGCTTTTCCCTTTTCCGATCCCTCCGACGATCTTTGTGTTGCAGCAGTTGACTAACTCATGAAGGAGTATTCTGATTTATTTGAATTTGACTAATCATCTGGGGCCAAGATTGCCACACGTCATCCGATTCCAACCGGGGATGCTCGTCCAATCAATGTTCCTGTTCGTCATTAGTCACCCAAGGAAATCAAGATTTTACATGCAAATGTCAAGAAGATGTTAGACAAGGGTGTTATTCAGAAGTCGCGGAGTCCTTGGGCATGTGAACCTCATCTTGTGACGAAGCCTAATGGGAGTATTCATTTCTACATTGACTATTATCCGTTAAATGAAGTGATGATCCCAGATGTGTACCCTCTTCCTCACACTATTGATCTCTTGGATCGTCTGAGGCGAAGTCGTTGGTTCACCAAGCTAGATCTTACTTCTAGATACTGGCAAATACCCATGGCCGAAGAAGATATTCCTAAGATTGCTTTTTGTACACCATTTGGTTTGTACGAGTTTTTAGTGATACCGTTTAGTTTGAATAATGTTCCAACAACTTTCCAGTGGATGATGGATGAGGTTATTTGCGATATGCCGAAGGTGACTGCTAACTTCATTGATGATGTCTTGATCCACTCGAAGGGGATGTGGAAGGAGCACGTTCGTGATGTTTGTAAAGTGTTGAATCAACTACGCAACGTTGGTTTAAAGTTGAAATGGTCGAAGTGCATGTTTGGGTCTAAGGACACACTTATCTTGGGTACCATATTTCTCAAAAGGATTTGCAAGTTGATCCTGACAAACTTATGGCTATTCTAAAGTTCCTTACTTCAAAGTGTGTGAATGATGTGCAGTGCTTCCTTGGCAAGGTGTAGTATCTCGGTCATTTTGTGGATCATCTTTCTGATTGCACTACACCATTGTGAGCATTGTTGAAGTCATTAATGTCATCTTTCATCTAGTCTCCGGATTGTGAGTGGGCGTTCGTGGATCTCAAAGAGTTATTGATGACTCCTCTGGTTTTGGCATATCCTGACTACACTCGATCTTTTATTTTGCGTGTGGATGCTTCTGACATTGGTCTTGGAGGTGTGTTGATGCAAGAGAGCTCGAGTGTGTCTGGTTAGTGCCATCCCATTGCGTATATAAGCCATACATTACAGCCAGCGGAGATGAATTACTCCACGACAGAGAAGGAGTGTTTAGCAGCAGTCTAGGGTTTCTACTTCATGCATATCTACATGGTTCTCGGACGCTACTTGAAGGTGACCATGTTGTTGTTACTTCATTATAGAAGCGGAAGAACCTGATTGGTTGTACTGCTCGATGGGCTTTGAAGCTCTAGATATATGATTTTGATGTTGTTCATCGCCCAGAGAGTTCTATGGCTGATGTTGATGCCCTTTCTTGAGCTCCTCTTCCTTCTCCACTCTCTTCTCATGTTTTTGACAAGCCTGTTATTCCAGTATCTGTGAATTTTCTAGACAAGGATTCTATATCATTGGCAATTGTTGTACTTGATGTTCAATGTCCACAAGGCACAGAGCAAGATCTCCCTTCTCTTGATGAGGTTTGCAAGGCTCAAAAGATTGAGCCGTGGATTCGAAAGCTTTGAGATGGGTTTGAGAATCCTGCATCACTTGCTGTTGGGTGGAAGTTGGTGCTCTTGCTAGTGCCTTTGGAACTACTGTTGGATACTTCCTCCTCAATCAATTGGTGTTCCAGCATTTTTGTCCAGAGCGGATTCTTTCGGATAATGGTCCCATATTTATGGCTGAGGCATTTCATGTTTTAACGTCTCGGTTGGGGAAACACCACACTTTCACGAGTGCTTATCATCCACAATCAAATGGTCTGGTGGAACGGCTCGTTCGGACATTCAAAGGGATGATTACAAAGTATGTGAACTTTCAGCATTTGGATTGAGATGGTTATTTGCCATCTGTTCGGTATGCATATGTCACAGGAGTGCAAAGTTCTATTGGTGCTTCACTATATAAACTCATGATCCAATATTACCAACAAAGCTGGGTTTACCTTTGCGATTGCCACAAGCTGCAAATGCTAAGTCGTGGGATTAGTATTTGACAAGCATTCTTCCACTTGTCTGAGTAGAGTCTGCTAAACATTTAGGCCGTGTATAAGTGGAACAACAACGGCACTACAACTCCCATCATTGTCCACCTGTGAAGGACAAAGTAGATGATTTAGTGTTAGTCAATTTTCCCCATTTTACAGCACGTGGTTTATCTAAGGGGCTCTTTGCACAGTGGAAAGGACCGTATCAGGTGTTGTGGCAAGTTGGACCGCAAGTTTATGAGGTTCGGCATGACGTCCAGTAGGCTAATCCTCCAGAGATTGTGCATGTGCAGCAGTTAAAATATTTCATACAAAGGGATTATGAGCAATTAATACCATCTACAGATCTATCGATGCCTTCTCCTAACGTTCCTTTAGATCCCAACCATTTACAAGAGAACCCTAATGGTCTTTCATTATTCCGAAAGGAGGGGATGATGTGAAGGCCAAGTGTACAGCTATGATGCCATATACTAATATTAGCATAATGGAATTTTGGTAACTGTTAGATTGGTTTCAATTTGGACCACTCGCTC